CCAGCTCCAGGGATCCTCCCAGACGTGTCCCCTGGCACTCAGCCCCAATGATGTCCCTGGGGTGCTGGAATGGGAAGGAAATCATAGCACTGAGGGATCAAAAACACCTAAAAAAAGGGAAAATGCGGGCTTGAGTACCCTCAGCTCCTTCCTTACCTCCCTGTGGCTGGTGCTGGGTGTCTGTCTGGGCCCTGCTGGCTCCAGACCTTCATGAATTCTGCAGGAATGTGCCGGCATCACCTTTCAGACACCACCCAGAGGATTAAATTCCCACCCCACACTCATTCTCCCATCAGCAGAAGGCTCTGGGTCCCTTCATGGGCCTTCCTGGGGGCTTGGGGTGGTTTGGGGGAGGATTTATCTCAAAAATCCAACAGCCTTGCCTGTGAGAGTATTTCAAGGTGGTTATTTGCTTATATTGGAATAAACTGGGAAAAAACTTGTAAAATTCATTGAACTGAGCTGTACATTTGGATCTTGCAARACAGGCTCATGACAACCCCCAGAACACCCAAAATATGCCAAAAATCTCCGAGTGTTTATATTTTCCCCCTCCAAGAGAAAAAATGATCACTTTGGGAAGGCAGTGAAATTTTGACACCCTATGAGTGTCCCCAGGTTGGGCTGTCAGGGGTTTCCAGAGAATTTTGGCAAAAGATGAGTTTTGGTGGCCCCAAAAACTGTTCCAATCCCAATTCCGAGCCAAACCCCATGTCCAGCCTTAATCCGAATCTTCGTTCCCCGAGTTTTAGAACCCAGATTTAATCCCAATCCCAATCCCAATCCCAATCCCATTCCCTCCGTTATGTGACGTCATCAAGCGCGCCCCTCCGCCCCGACCACGCCCACGATGAAGCCACGCCCCCAAATGCGCCGCGCTCGCGCTGTGGGGGCGGAGCATGTCCGCTCTCGCCCCGCCCCCGGCGGTGCTCTCCGCTTCGCCCCGCCCCCAGCCCGCCTTTGGACGAATAGCAGCGCCGCGTCTCCGCTCGTCCCTCCCCCGCCCCCCGGCTGGGCCAATGGGAGCGCGGCGTGGCGCTGGCCCCGCCCCCGCGCCGGCGGGGCGGTGCAGCCGGCGGAGGTTTTCCTGCGCCGCCATCTTGGATCGGCGGAGCGGAGTGAGGAGGGGGCGGCYCGGGAGCGCCGCCATGGCCGCCACCGCCGCCAGCGCGGGTGAGCCCGGCCGGGGGGGCTCTGGCGGGACTGCGGAGCGGGCTGAGGGACCGAGGGGGGCTGAGGGAGGGCGTGAGG